CTTAGAATATGTTGTTTTCATTTGGAAAAAAGTAGGAGATCTCCTCCTCCCTGCATCTCAAGCAAATTGTTTCAAAGGCCACAACAAAAGCACGACTTCTTGGACTGCAGAGATTAGCGTTAAAATCCCTACTGAGCCATGAAACTCTCTGGATGTCATGGGCCCAGTTACACACTATGTGAGCTTAACTTACATCACAGGGTTGTTGTGAGGATAAAGTGGGAGGGAGGAAGAACTATCCTGAGCTCCTTGGAGTAAGAGCACGATAAAAATGTGATAGATTTTGGTGAATGTGTGTGTGCAAGGTTGCTGCATGTGTGTGACGGGAGCACATCACTCTGCCATTGGAGAGTTTGTCAATGTGATGAACTGCACTTTGAAAACTCATAAGTGCTTTATAAACATGTAGTAGAGTGTGAAGGGTTAATGCCTCACAGAGCCAGAGAGCCTTGGGTGACGGGCTGCTCAAAAGGATTTGATTGGTTAGTGTCAGTTGAGCAGAAAGACTAGGGAACTGACTGCAGAAGAGAGCTCAGTTTGAGTTTATCCCTTACTGAGGAGAATTTAGCTCTGACTTAGGAGAGTTTAGCTCTGACTGGGGACAGGGAAGATTGTCAAGAAGGAGTGGGAGGATCGGTGAAGACCCCCATTCAGGCCAGGAAAGGGAATAGATCTTCTAGTTAGAGAGAAGAAATTCCCTGCCCAGTTGATAAGGGAGATACCTCTAAAGAGTGGAGTGATCCCTGGTTGGAGAAGGAATTTGGGTACTTGGTAGTGTATCCCTGCCTTCTGGAACCTGAAGAGTCAGTTAAACTCAAGAAAGTGAACTGAAATGTTTAGGAAACACTGAAACCAAAACATCTCATCTCTAAGAATCTTTGTGAAATACTTTAAAACTCACATGCTGGAAACGTATGAGCTGGAGTTTGTGATTATAATGAATTACCTCAGAGATATTTGATTCACCTCAGACATTTTACCCCCTGATTTCACCTGACCTTTCCCCCTCTATGTTGAATATAATATCTTGTTGATTTTTGAACATTCTAAACCTCTTGTGTGACATTTTCAGAAGTTGAAGTTAAAGAGGTGATCTTGTCTCTTCCCTCAAGTTCCTGCACTGAGCCAGTAGCAAAATACAATTAAGACAGGGTGGGACAGTGATAGATCTTCGGAAAAGAAGAAAATAGATAAAGGGGCTGCTCAGCTAGAAAGGAAGGGGAGGAAACGGAGGGAAAATCCTGCATCTGAGTAAGGGAATGGGGCTAGGTTGTCATAGCCATCCCTTGTGAAAATTACGCTGTTTATGGTCCCACTTTAGTCACTGCTCATTCACATTTCATGTTTAGCCACAAGGGATTCCTCTTCCACTTGTCTGATAACTGTGGCTTCTAGTCTGCAGAACAATGGAAAACCTTCTCCTACCCCCTCAGCTAATATTTCATAAGTGTAAGTGATGAGGGGTGTAGCACTGCATACCATTGGCATGACAGTTCTCCTCTGAAATCTCAGAGATAATCAGTACCAAGCTAAAGGTTTCCCTTGCTCGAAAGCCAGTCGAATCCGACTCTAGGGATGCGGTGCTCATCTCTGCTTCCAAGCCGAAGAGCCAGCGCTGTCCAAAGACGTTTCCGTGGTCATGTGGCCGGCATGACTAAACGCCGAGGTGCACGGAATGCTGTTACCTTCCCACCAAAGTGGTACCTATTTATCTACTTTCAGTTTCTTGCTTTCGAACTGCTAGGTTGGCAGGAGCTGGGACCAGAGATGGGAGCTCACTCCATCATGCAGCACTTGGGTCTTGAACTGCCGAACTGCTGACCTTCAGGTCTGCAGTTCAGTGTCTTAACCACTTGAGCCACCTGTTACCTATTACCCCCCCCCCAAAAAAACCCAACACAGAATGATACTGTGACACTCACAAGTGTACCCCTCACTGATACAAAATGTCACATGGTATGCAAAGGGAATGCATTTAAACCGTTTGAAGGAGCGTCTCCGTCTCTGTGTCCCTGTGCCCCTGTGCACCAGCTACAGTCATCAGGCAGCCATCTGCTGGCTGTCCACTACTTAGGGTGGCCCGTCTGGCATCTTCCAGGGCCCAGAGGCCTTTCCCACTGTGGAAATGAACTCCCTGAAGAGGTGAGAGGGGCTTCTTCCTTGGAAATCTTCAGGAGGGACTGCCAGGCCTGCCTGTTTGCCAGGGCTTTTGAGGGGGGTTGAACAGCAGGACGCGGAACAGAGGGATTTGGGATTCATTTTATTTTGGTTTAAGTGGACATTTTTTTCACTATTACAGTAAGCTGCCTTGAACCACAAGGAAAGGTGGGATTCAATGTTTATATATATATGTCATATACAGGGGTCATTTCGTAGAAAAAGAGGTGCAGGAGCTCATTAGCATAACTCATTAGCATAACTTATTTGCATGTGCCACACACCCTGAAGTATCACCGGAAGTGTGTCAGAAGGCAACACCCACTGCTCAGGCTCCACTGGACTGTTTTGGATTGCTAGCTATTGGGGGGGGGGACGTGCAGATCTGCCCTCGCAGAGGAGGGAGAGCTTGTACCTGAATAAAACTTGGTCTTAAAGGTGCCACTGGACTGTTTTGGACTGGGGGACGGGGGGGGGGCTCTGCAGCTTACCTGGCTGCTTCTTGCTCTGAATGAGGGCTGCTGGGAGCAGGGGGGTAGGGCTTGTTGCATGTGCCCGCCCCCTGGGCTCTTTACTGCCGGAGCTCCGCTCCTGTGCGCTCCTGCAGGAAATGACCCCTGGTCATATATATATATGACATTTGCAAAGGAACATTTAACACAAACTGAAAAGCAGCATCGTATCTGTTTCTGATTTAATATTTAAGGTTGTTACTGAAAGAATATTAAAACAATATTTGAAAATCTGTCTATGGAAGGATCTGGTTTCCAGGAATTGTCAGTTTGTCATGCTTCCTGTCTGCTAGAAACTCAGCGAATGCAAACTGGCCCAGCTGAACGTTAAAACAGTGTTCAAAGCACTCTTAAGGTTGTAATTACCCCGTTGCCGCTACATGCTAACTGTTACCATTGCTGTCAGTGTGGCCGATCCCCATTGTTTAATAACGCCGCTTTATAGGGCTAAGTAAGTGGAGCATTTGTTTATGGGCGGAAATTATGCCGTACTTCTCTTTGCTGTGCCAGAAATCTGGAGGGTTAGGCAGAGTGATTTAGGATGTTTTCTCCTGTCATGACA